AATTGAAGGGGTTATATTTTTAGGAGTGATTAATTTTTGGGAAAGAAAGTTTTTGGCTTTCTACTACTCCATCTGATACAAAAAAGGGATGAGAGAATCTTCCAAAGAAAGGAAGGAAGTAATCAATTTGAAAATAAGTAACTCTATACATGGATGTGTAGATCATGCAAAGATCAGTTTGTGTCTGAAAGTTACTTCTTTCAATCCATCGTTACCAGTGCAACTTGCGTGCGACGTAAGTCCTAATGGTGTTGCTGGAATATTGTCTCACGTTGAGGATGGTAATGAACGGCCTATCGTATTTGCTTCAAGATTTTTGACTTCTGCAGAACAAGGTTACTCTCAACTTGATACAGAAGCCTTGGCCATAATTTTTTCTGTGGATAGATTTTACCAAAGATTCCCAAGATGACTTCAGCTCGACTTCAAAGATAAACTACATTTTTGTCTGGATTCAATTACACATTATCCTTTGGGAAAGGAAAAGATAATTCAAATGTAGATTGCCTTTTAAGGGCGCCAGTTTCAGCAAAACTTCGAATGGATTCAGTAATCAATAACGAAGTTCATCATTTATGTAATTCGAACATTTCACAAATAACTACATCAGAAATGTCTTATGAAACGCTGAAAAAAAAACACTCAAGGACGAAACACTATCAGCACTTTTGGAAGATCTCAAACAGGATTCAAATTGCAAAGCAGAATTCACTGTAGACTGCGATGTGTTATTCAAAGACCAGCGTGTTGTTATACCTAATCTTTACAAGCAGCAGTTTTGAAAGAGCTTAATCATACTCACATTGGGATGACTAAAATGAAATAATTACCCAGACGTTACGTTTACTGGAAATCTATTGATAAAGGCATTGATCGCATGGTAAGAAGTTGCCCATCCTGTGCATCTGCTCAGCCAAACCCTTCAAGAGCACCATTGTACCCTTGGATGGAACCAGAAAATAATTGGCAGCGTATACATATCGCCTATGCAGGACCGTTTCAGAATCATCATTTTCTTGTTGTTATCGACGCAAAATCCAAATGGGCTGAGATTGTTCCGTGTACATCAGCTCCAACTTCTTCATCTCCATATACTCCAAGATATATTTGCTCGTGATGGATTTTCCGATGTTATGGTTTTTGATGATGCAACTATATTCACCAGTGAACATTTCAAAAAGTTTTGCCAATCAGCAGGTATTTTTCAAAAATTTATCGCATCAGGACACCCAGCTACAAATGGATTAGCGGAACGTAACGTTCAAACCCTTAAATACATACTTGCTGCTATGCTACTTTTTCGTTATCGAGCAACACCACTGTGTAATGGGAAGACACCATCAGAGCTATTTCTTAATCGACAGATTCGTATCACGCTGGATGCTTTGGAACCCGTTCATCATGAAAAATCATCACCATCAAATAAAAAGACAAGACAATTCAGCATGGGAGAAAGAGTTCAAACAAGGTATTACACAAATAATAAACAGTTATGAAAGACAGAAGAAATTATCAAGAGATTTGGGTTTCTTCACTATCAAGTGAAATTCGATGATGGATATTTTTTGAAAAGACAGTAAATCCGTCTTTTTCGCACCGGAAGTAGAAGTTACTTATGAAGATCAATCAAAACAGCTTAGTATAACTGATTTGGTGTCGATTCCAGTGCAAGATGAACAAGCTAATCAACCTGAATATTCAAAATGAGGTGTTTCAACCAGATCAAATTGAACTACCTGATGATCAAATACCTCATCCACCAACCAACATAACAGAGTTGAGACGAACAGGCCGCCCTGTTAAACTTTCATCACGCCTCAACGATTATATAGTTAAAAAAAAAATAATTCAATAAGCGTGGGAGATTGTTGTGTATTACATATATTTATATATTTGATACACCCGTTACATCATTAGTCGAAATTATTATTGAGTTGTCAAATAGATGTGAATTAAAAAGATCATATAGAGAACTCACATATTCGTTATAAAGTGGTATTAATAAATAAATCAAATCAAATACTACTCATTCACAACAGAATGATAGCAAAAGATCCTGACAGATATAATCTTCGCAAATAGTGATACGTTTTGTGAAGTAAAAATCAGTGGATGATATTCAAACCGTATTAACATGAAAGCGAATACTACTGGATTTTTATCCCAACACGAAACCGTTATTTTTAACACCTCGACACGTGTTTCAATGAGAAATGAATCTTTCTATGTTTTTTAACTACTTTTATTTTTAACTAACGTTACTGCAGTTTCATCCTATGATGACATTTCCAAACGAATAAAATACACTAAAATTTCATTTTCAAACGAATACAATAAACTGAAATTTCAGTTTATTGTATTCGTTTGAAAATGTCCTTAAAGGACGAAACTGCGGTTAACCTAGTTACAAATACAAGAGGTACAAACATAAGAAGTTTAAATTTCTCAATTTTCATAAAAATATTTTCTTTAATGAGGAAAGTTTATGATGTTTGAGACAACAATCCAGCAAATTTAGTATCTTTGGGATATACTTGGGGACGAAGCTTCACATATATGAGCAATGAAATATGCTCTATTCTGAACGTTTTGAAGCTGAAAAAGGCTGACGAAAAAGTGGTCTTAGATCAAATTTGGGCGATAGAGTTGTGTGCCTTGATATCATGTCAGGTTCTGCCAATGGCATTTACTTGGAATGAATTGACCTCAGCAATTTTCTTCCTATAGGTCGTTGGCGTATAATTGAAAAATATTTAGAATAAGAGAGGTACCAGCTTCAAAAGTTAGTGAGAGTTCTCGAAAACTTCTACTGTGCTTGTTGCACCATCACTATCATTGATTTCAAAATTTAAACTATTTCATATATTTATAAGAGTTCAATTACAACACGAATCAACCTCATCCTGAAAAAGTCTCAATAACAAGACAAACTTGATAAGTAGAATTGGGAACCTATGGTGTAAAATGAATCTATTGAAAACACTTCTCCCTAACCAGAAAGAACAAAGTTGCTGCCTCTTGATGCGCGCTTCACTAATCAAATTAGTATCATCAGATGACCGAGACTGCTCAAGAGTTGTACTACACAATGTTATTCAAATTCGAGTCTATACATGCTGATCTCGTAAACGTTTTTTCAAAGGACAAAACACAAGCATTACACGAGAATCTTTTAGGCTCTCTGAGGGCGGTGCCTGTGCCAAAGTAGTGATTCACATTTGATTTGAATCGCTGGAGATCACCATTTGGAAAAACATTCTCAGGAAGTTTATTCCGCATAAAAGCAATTCTCCAAATGAAAGAGTTCTTGAACAGTAAAGTTCAAGGTGTACTGAGTTGAACCTCAAAACGATGAGCAGCTACAGTACGTTGCGTATTTCTGGTATGTACCGCTCTTGGTGGAATCAAATGTGCCAACACACTTGAAAGAATCTATAGATGAGATAAGGATCAGATTCAATTGGGGCAGGGTAGCCATTAAGGTAATATTCAATGATCCCAATAAATCGATTCTGGTTTATTGAAGAGGAGAGTATACAAGAAAAACCAACAATTTCAAAGTTTAAATTTTTGCTGAAATAAAGATTGTGTTCACACTCAACCGTATCAAACCTTTACTGAATTACCATAATCATAATATGATTTTCACTTCTGTGGACTGTATTTCTGTAGTAATTTTTCAAATCATTGAATTTTCTCTGTATTAATTCATAAAATCAAAGATTTTTTTATATGTATTGTCTAGAGTTTTGGTGATTTGATAACCGTCAAATGAATCATCATCTTCGGTTAGTTAGGTAGCTTCAAAATCAATGAATCAGAAGGTTTGAGCCAATGCATTGGCCTTCCAGAAGTCCTGATATAACAATTATGGATATTTTATTATGAATAGATTCAAAACGAACAGTTTATAAGTTTGATCGCAATAATAATAAGGAAATATTGAAGACTGAAATAAGAGAGGCAATAGACGCCATACCAATATCATAACTTTAGGATGGACTAGAATTGTGTTTTGAAGTTGGTGGAAGTACTTTCAAATGATATTCACCAATAATATTTGTATTAAAAGTTTTATGTTCAGAACATGATTTTCAAATCATCTTTATGACATCAAAAAGTGAGATGTTGAAAACACCCTGTGATCTATAGAAATTTTTCAAAATGAAAATGTAGTCGTATTTTAACAGGAAATAACTTTCGTTCGTGAAATCACGATATTTTTTTTATTTGCCTTCTTGATACTATGGACCGAGAAGTAGCATGTTAACATTTGGAAAAGTCATTTCACACTGAGTGAAAATCATGATAATAATATTCTTCTAATACTTGAGAACTCTAAAAGTCAGCTCTTTCAGTAGCGGTAAAGCTAAAGGATATAAGTTGTTAAAAAATTATGCTTCAAGTTTTTTCATACTATACAACATATTCAACGGCATTCTTGAACATTCAAGGCACTTTCGACAATATGCCTTTGAGGTGAATCGTTCAGGAATTGTCGAGAAGGAAATACATCAATGACACAATCTGCATGCTTAGATAAATTTTAGGAGGTACTACTATAAGGTGAAAAATAAAACTGGCCCAAGTAGCAAGAGGTTGCCCTCAGGGGAATTCAATATTAACTGTTATGGAAATTTGTATTGGACGAGCTACTACATCTTTTTTCAAACAACTACATCATATTCCTACAAAACATAGTAACATACAGGCCAAGCCCAAAGATCAAGACTCATGGACTAGGGCCTCTAAAACTTTGAAGTTGAGAGATACTGTCATTTTCAGGAAATCTTATATATCGGGAGTGATATGAGATACTAGGCTAACGTAATTTTTTCAACTAAAAAAACTAATATGAAAAACATGAACATGAACATTTGTTTCATATGTATCCATGTTCTGGTGGCCAAAAATAAAACTAGTGTAAACGATGTTAACAATCGAGACAGTGATAAATATGAGAAAAAATTCGAGGAAACTTTCAAAACCTGCACAAGGAAATGCAAATAGTTCCTTCTGAATATTTACGAAACGTCTGAAAATATTGAAATACCTATATAACGCGTACGTTTCTACTGATCATTACAAAATTTATGTGAAGTATTATGTTACGCATAAATCATTCCCTTGGTTGAATATTGATACAATCATTTTCAGAAATCAAAACATAAAAAAAACTGGTAGTAGCGCCTATTTGATCATCACCGGATTCGTTGAGAGTGGTCTGTAAAAATCTCTATCCAGCCCATCACAATGGGAAACAGAAGAATAATATTTCAACTCAAGTGAAATCAGAAGTTTTCTAGGACTAATGAAAAATGTACTATATCAAACGTATACGTTTCAATAATTATTCTGTAAATTCGAATGAATACAGAAATGCTTGTATAAGTGAATCCAATTAAGGTGACATCAAATTGTGCACAACAAAGCTTGATTCACATGATTTATGTGGAAAATAAAACTCTTTTGAAAGTAAAAAATAAGTATTCTCGAAAATGTTTTGCTTGAAGTTAGGAATGGAAAACGGAAAAAAACCGTGAGAATGATAATTAATGAACAAAAATTCAAACTTAACTGTTGTTTACAATTGTTAAATAATTCATTACAAAATTATATTATATGATGGAACTCACGAAGGTTCAGTGGTTACAACCGAGAATCTTCCGTATTTATAATTGCCTATTACAAGAAAATGAAACTATAAAGGACTGAAATAATTAATGTTCACAAAGTTTGTTTCACTTCATTTCCTCTAAACTCACAGAGAAGTATTACCTACATTTTTATGAATCTAAAAATGGAGGTACAATAGATTGTTTTAAATTAACATGTGAGAATAAAAAAAAAATAAGAAAATTACTGAACTGATAACAGTTCAATCATTCATTATTCGGTAGTACATTTTTTGAGAAAAACGTGGGAGGTCATCCATAAAAACTATGAAGTTCAATAAATAGTTGAAAATTGATGTTTTTTCCAGTGAATTTGGAAATTTGTGATTGTTATCGTAATTCAAAATTCAACTTTTCTTTCAAGTTGATCTATCTTGGTCTCAATTTCCCCCACTGAACTGAGACTCGATGATACAATACAATTTACATAACTTTTCATAGCTTCGAAAGGAATATTAGAAACAAAACGCATGTAATTCTAAATTGATATTAAATGATTTCAATTTATCCAATGAAAACTGAAATCTATGGAATTTTGTATTGGAACTTTCCCTTCTTCTGAATTTCTGAAAGAATATATTACTTAGTGAGTTTTCAAATCAAATGGGAAAAATTATTGAAACCGATAAATATTTCAAATCGTAAAAACAATTCACTTTCGTTCCACCACCAAACAAGTACATTTCAAAACTGGCTTGTTCTTGTTGATTCATATGAATCTGAATAATAATGTTTTATTGATGATTTGTTATTATTTAGAACCACCAGACGAGTCGTACACTAAATCTGGCCGTAATATCCAGTGAATATTATTTAACTTCTTTTCCAAGAATCAGATGATTCCATGACTTTGTGAAGTATCACATAGTAATTAATCGAATATTTGACCAAATCAAACAATGTGTCACTAGAAGTTACATTTCATATTCATTGTTTCTGTCATTTATCAATTTTTTACGTTCGTTTATCTTTGATATTCGAAATTCAGCCTTCCGTCAACCACACAGTCTCTTCGTAAGGGAAGATGATGAAACAATAATAATTGCGAAAAAAGTTTGAATTAAAAAAATGTCGACTTCAATCTCGAAATTTCGAGGTTTGAGTTGAATCATATTTGAATCATATGACCGTCTACCTACTTAATGGATTATAATTTTGTCCGAGTTTAGGTATAATCTAATACAAAAATTATTTAGTAAGTATAGCAATTAATCGAATATTTGACCAAATCGAACACTGTGACACTAGAAGTGAAATATATATTTCAATAATTTCAAATAATTTGTATATCAAAATGGTCTGAAAGGTACATAATACGAATCTGTTGAATCCGGTTCTGCGCATGGAATTAAACACGTAGTCACCATCTGTTTCTATACTTTATATTTTCCCATTCGGATAACAAATAATTCACGACCAGTTTCAGGTATAAAAACCAGCAAAAAAAAATTTCATACAATTTCATCACCTTGTGAGAATGACAACGTCAAATATAGTGATGAATTCCTTCAAATACAATATATTATTTATGAAGATCTGTGGTCTCTATCCGTCGGAGAAATATGGCAAATGGTTCAAGTTCTACGCATTTCTCTTCTATTTTGTTATCACCCTTCCGGCTCCATTGCTGCCAATTACCCATCTTGTGATCAGCAGGGAGACAGATATGGAGAAAGTCGCTGAAAGTATGTTCGTTATCCTAGTATCAGGGACGGTTGTACTTAAATTCCTACCATTCAAGTTTAATCCTGACGACATTAAAGGAAGTATATTTGCTCTCAATCAAGACATTTTCACAAGGGTGTTCATGGACCAGGAACAGTATATCCGAGAAACAGAGGCTGCTTGCAGAAAAACATTTGTGTCTTTCATGACCTGTTATTTACTAAGTCTATTCACTTGGCCGATTCGTGTTCTCATTCGTCCAGGAAGGAAGTTCCCAATCGAGATTTGGTTGCCATTCAACCCCTTTGAAAGAATGGACGTTTACGTGACCATGTTTGCCTACATTGTTCTAGGTAACATTATCGAAATTTTTTTACTTTCTTGTTTCAGTATGAATAANCACAACAAAAAAACTTCACCAAACAACAACCAATAAAAAAAGCAATTAATACGTCATAGTGGTGGGGGGAGGCCGAGAATCAGCTGTAAACAACTACTTCCATGTATAGAGTTATTTATTTTCAAATTGATTAATCCTTCCTTTCTTTGGAAGATTCTCTCATCCATTTTTTTGTATCAGATGGAGTAGTAGAAAGCCAAAAACTTTCTTTCCCAAAAAATAATTGTATTTTTCATCAAGGTAATACTTTTTCAATCTGCTTGTATAGTGAAATACGTGTTGTGAAGATTCAGTGAAAATCCCACAACAATGTGTTTTTTGAATACGTTGTATATTTCCATCGAGTATAAGAATATATTGAAAAATAAATGTTTGATATTTGGAAATCTGATTTTGGTAAAAAAACAGCAGATAATTACAAAAATATTAATTTTTCAGCAACGGGAAATGCACCTGTAGGCAATGCCTCCATCGAAACCCTCATAGGAGGCCTGATCAATCACGCTGCTTGTCAAATAAGAATTCTCAAAGACACTCTTCAAAATCTCAGTCGAAGAGTGGATGAACATATTGAAAAAAAAGTTGGAATAATTTCGGCTACGAATAAGAAGAAACTCAAAAATTATATAGTTCATAGAGAGATTTGTCACTGCGTGAAACATTACGACGCTATCTACAAGTAATCTTCAATCTGAAACAAATTACAAATCAATGACCGTTTATCACTTTTTCAATTTTCAGTTTCGTGAGAAGTGTTGAAAATACTTTTGCTTTCGTCATACTCAATACCTTTGCAGTTAGTTGCGTGGTTGTATGCATGACATGTTTTCAGCTATCCCTTGTAAGTAACACTATTACCAGATAAAAATATTTTATACATGATACAGGCGGCTTCAACAATTTTTTTTTCAGGCTGAACCATTCTCGGCTTATTTTTTTGCAATGGTGATATTAATCATTGCATTATTACTTCAAATAGGTATTTATTGTTACTACGGGACTGTATTGTATGAAGAGGTGAGTTTGAATGATTTATTAACATAACTACCTAAGAGTTATTTGCTTGTGATAAGTACACTCATAAATTGAACTTATCGAATCAATAACACTCACACATCATTTTATACGTCACTTAGGTTTATTTTGGTATTTATCGCTTTGCTATTACATATGAACTGATTATCACGAATTTACCTAGATTAAAACAAATGGAATTGTGTCATTCACCATTTCCTCCAAAATATTCAAAATAAACGCAGGTGAACTGGTAACAACCTATTTGGAGATGGACCACCCACTGGTTTCAATGTTTATATATTAATGATATCTGCTTTCAAAGTTTGTGAAGGCTGATAAACATTTGGAAATAACAGTTATTCTTTGATTTTCAGCAAGTCAGATTATTATATTTGAAAGAAGTTCTATGTTGATTCTGAAGGTCACCCAGAAACAATTGTCATTTGAACGACATTTATATTATGGATATAATAGCAGCTACATTTGGTTAATGTTAGAGAGTCAGACATCCATAATCTGAAAAAGAACTAAGAGATTTGCAATCCGGGGGAAAATAAATGAATGAAATATCAAAAATACTAGGGCTTAGAACAAGTTGTTAGTTGACAACAAATAACTTATTTGAAAGATGAGAAGAAGTAGACAATGAATATCAAATGTTGAAGTATATGAAATAAACACAAAAATACGTTACTTTTTGACATTTCCTGAAAAAGTCATTTGATATTGATCAATTCTGTTGACAGGAATCTAGCAGTCGTGTGAAAAGAAAATATTCTTTATATTCCTTTTTTATATTCCTTGCAATGTACCGAATTTTTGAATTGATTGTTTCGGGATAAGACACTTTTCAGTACCAATCTGAATAATATTATAAAAAGAAGCACTCAGTTAAAGTCATTCGAGACATGACTTGAATCTACTCATGTCATCGATGAAAATAAGAGGGGTATATTTTCAGGAGAGATTGATTTTTGCGAAAGAAATTATTTGGATTTCTACTTCTTAATTTTTTTGTATAAAGATGTAGAAGTCGGAAGCCAAAACCTTTCTTTCTCAAAAATCTATTTCTTTCGAAAATATACTCCAATCAATTCAAACCATCTTACTTATTCCATTAAATCATTTATTTTCATTTCAGGTCGCAATAATTTGTTATCTTCACAAAATGAGTGATCTAGTACTTTTACATTTCATATTCATTGCTTTTGTCATTTATTTATTTTTCACGTTTATCTTTGATATTCGAAGATTGAAAGCCTTCTGTCGATCACACGGAGTGTCCGTAAGGGAAGATGTCATTGCCTTCACTTTCAGGCTTGTTTCTTTTGACACAGTTCAGTGGTTCAGCCTAGCACTAATATAATAATATTATAATTGCCTAACACTAATATAGTAATATTAGTGTTAGGCAATAAAAATATAACAATAATAGTTTCGAAAAAACTTTGAACTGAAAATTTCGACTTTAATCTCGGAATTTCAAGGTTTGAATTGAATCATATTTGAAACATATGACCGTCTACCTACTTAATGAATTATAATTTTGTTCGAGTTAGGTATAATCTAATACAAAAATTAAATGATAGGAAATATAATTTACCAAGTCACATGATTAGATATGTACTTATTCAAAATTACCAGAGTTTACGTTTCAACTAATTACCAATTTCCACATTGGGAAAAAGATTCAATGAAGTAGAAGTTTTGAATTATGTTTGATCATTCAGTGAATTTTCAGAATTTTCAAGTCCATTGATTTCCAAGCGTTTCGAAAGATTGACTTCTAACCTTTCTCTTCCAAATGTTTCACTCACAATCGTGATTGAACACATCATCTTCTGCCTAAACTTATATACCTACTCCTAATCTATACGACACTGAAGTTTCGTCTTTAATGAAATCGTTTGAATCACTATTTCTTCAGTCTTTCACGAGCAAAATTATTGGTGTGTTCAACAAAGTATGTCAATGTCATACGACGCGCTCCCTATCGTTTTAAAAAAAAACAAAAAACTTTTTCTCACAGAATGAAATTGCATATAAATGGTTTTTTAAAAGCAATTCTATACTTGCAAACCATATTTTGTCACGCCTATGAAGTCTTTCGGAAGAGAAAGGTTTGAAATTCAATCTTATCGAATGCTTGGAAATCAATAGATTTCAGAATTCTGAAAACTACTGAATGACCGAATAGAATAGAATAGTTCTTCCTTTTAAATTTTTTTCTAATGCGGGAATTGATTATTAGTTGATGAGTAAACTCAGATGATTTCATCACATGTCCATTCAAATGAATTCGTGAAATTTGTGTCAAGTTAAAAGTTTCAGTTAGTTTATACACAAACTCAAGTCAAACTATCAGTCATTGAGTAAGTAGATTGTCATATAGCTCAAATTGTGGTATTATATAAAGTACTGATTAGGTGGAATTCAGTTAGAATGAACACGCCTGAGAAAGCTATTGTATAGTGAAACACACAATTCCATCACATATCTTCAAAAGTTGATTTATTTATTTTTTCAACTTACCGATGCTACACTGAATTTCAACCCATTTGAGAAAATTATTATACCTATATATAGATATGGCTATATTACGTAAAAGAAACATGTATATTTTGATGTATCTAGAGGAATGGTAATAATCACACTATATTATTTCAGAGTGATACTATCAATTTTGCTATTTATTCAAGCGACTGGTACAACTTTGATGAAAAATCTAAAAAAGCACTGATTATTTTGATGGAAAGAACAAAACGTCCTATGTTGCTGATGACTGGAAAAATATTAGACCTTTCTTTGACAACATGGATAATGGTGACAAAGTCTCATTTGTCATCACCTGGATATTATTGTTGTTCGGAAGTCGGTCGACCCTAATCGATCCGCTCCCTACTATACTGATAAAATGATGTTTGTTACGTGTTCGGAACAGTAATATCCAGATGATTACAAATGAGACTTTGTCGAAACGTCGGTGAGATTGAAACCGGAAACCAGATCAGCATATTCTTATCCGTGAGAACTTCAGATTTAACATTTCAAACCTTTAAGGGAAGAAGAGGTTGATTAAGAAGAAGAACTAGGATAAAATTCAACAACAATATTTATAGTAGGTAGTGAGTGCTATAAGAAGTCGACGAAAATTAATTTGGTCAAGCAAATAAAGAACCAGATTCTGCAGATTTCCGATCCTTCCTTTCATAAAAAAAATTCGAATATACTTTTCCAATTATTTATCAATAACTGTAACCCAGATACTCTACTTGAGAAGGTCTTATGTAGTCAACCATTGACGTTCAAATCAACAACAATCGGTTGGATATAAATCCTTCACAGCCTGACAACGTCACAATTGGGGCTGATCCACCTCCAGTTTCTACACTTTCCTCATCTTTACCATATGTAAGTGATATGACATATGACACCCAAGTTATGCAGAATTTTCAAATATTTAAATGTAAAAATAGCTTTAAAAACCATAGTAACCATTGATGAATTATTTTCTAAACTCAAAGATAGAAAGAACTCCTATTAACTTTCAATCTCAATTAATCTATTCCATTCCATGTTCAAATTGTGGTACGCAATATATTGGTGAAATGTCAAGACCACTCAAAGACAGAATCAGTTCACATGAAAGTGATAGTAGATTACATCCTGAGAGATATGCTTTTAGTAATCATGTCTCCAAAGAAGGTCATAAAATGGACTATAATTCAACTGAAATATAATCAACTGAAAGAAATACATCTGAAAGATTGTTTTTGGAAATGCCATTTATGCTACAATCAAATGATTGCCTTAATAAAAGATCAGACATTGATCACCTCAGTGAAATATATGCCTCCCTATTAGACATTGACAAACATTTACATGATTTCCAAACCAGTCATAATAATTATGGTTTTTCATCAATATAATTCATAATATTTTAAATATTTTCTTCTTGAACAAATTTCCAACCTCCCAATGGCAGGGTTCTACTGTCATTTAACAACACCTCTTCATTTATTTTCCTCAAGACTAATAAGGGTGTTGTCAATTAATCAATATTAAATTGGACATATTTGATTTTTGGGTTTTCTCATTGAGTTACTTATAGAACAGCAGATGTCTCTGATCACACTTGCAGCGTAACAGTTCTCCAATGTTATATAGTTTTATTATAGACGAACAAACACACTTTTTCAAACTTAATCACATGACAGCTGTCATTGTCAATCACTTGTTGTCTCTCTCTCTTTGATGAATATTACTGGAGTTTTTTCCAACACCAAATCGTTATTTTTAACACCTCGACACGTGTTTCGATCACCAAGTGATCATCTTCAAAGAGGAAGATTAAAACTATTTTAAACCCCTCGACACGTGTTTTAATAACCAAGTGATCATCTTCAAAGAGGAAGATTAAAACTATTTTAAACCCCTCGACACGTGTTTTAATAACCAAGTGATCATCTTCAAAGAGGAAGATTAAAACTATTTTAAACCCCTCGACACGTGTTTTAATAACCAAGTGATCATCTTCAAAGAGGAAGATTAAAACTATTTTAAACCCCTCGACACGTGTTTTAATAACCAAGTGATCATCTTCAAAGAGGAAGATTAAAACTATTTTAAACCCCTCGACACGTGTTTTAATAACCAAGTGATCATCTTCAAAGAGGAAGATTAAAACTATTTTAAACCCCTCGACACGTGTTTTAATAACCAAGTGATCATCTTCAAAGAGGAAGATTAAAACTATTTTAAACCCCTCGACACGTGTTTTAATAACCAAGTGATCATCTTCAAAGAGGAAGATTAAAACTATTTTAAACCCCTCGACACGTGTTTTAATAACCAAGTGATCATCTTCAAAGAGGAAGATGAAGGAAGGAAGATGAAAATAACGATTTGGTGTTGGGAAAAAACTCCAGTAATATTCCAAACAGTGCATCTCTCTTTGATCTTCAACCACGTGGCTTTTTTTTACCGGCAATCCATAATTAATTTTAAAACAAATCACGATTTTCAGTAAGATTTGATTCAATAATCTTTATATTCAGTGAGGAGTCAACCCCTTGTAATATAGTGACTTGTTTGATCATATTGACGTGTTTCAATTGTTTGAATGTAACATTCTTTTCGACACGGCCATCCTCACTAACAGTAAGTTTGAGACTTTTCATAATAATACTCATTCAAAGGAATCAATATTGAAATATTCAGACATATTTCAAACCGTAGGAAAAATATAGCGTTCAACAATAAATAAAATATTGTTTACACTTATAAAGTTATATAGTGTTGCCCATCTTTCCACTTGGATGCACCACACTGATGATGGATCAAAATCCCGAAACACGTGTTTATGCAATAATCGACTTCCTCTCATGTTGGCTGAATCCTTGGTAACATAATATCTGACGAATCCATAATGCTGGCGTCTGGCTCCTATAACTGACTCCGCACGTGTGTTTAACGTTCGATCTAGTGTCGCCCATTTCTGCACTTGGTTACATCATACTGATGAGAGCCAATTAGGTCGAAATGCATATTTAAGATATTCTCAATTGAAAATTTTTGACAGTTGTTTTGTATCATGAATAAAAAATCATTTTTTTTTTCCAGATAATTCGGCGATCATATTCACTTCTAGCGGTGCTGCAAAATTATTAATTGATATAAACCTATTAGAGCAGACACATTTGAGTTAATGAAGATATTCGTATTTTGGATGCTATCCTAATGAAGTTTGAATATTACAGGTTAGGATCTCCATTGTCTCAAATGAAGAATTGGGATACGAATGAAATAAATGTATATGTGAATGAATAATTGAAGTGAAAAGAGGAACTGTGTTATTATTCCAATCGTTACTGGTATTTGCGACTTCGTTATATTCACGGTGATTATTCTGGTAACCGTGGTGTCCATTGAATGCTATCTATTTTCCCAATTCAGTGTCGTGGAATTGTTGATAATCGTGACAAATAATCAGATCATAATGCGGAAGAGCATCGTTCTGTTGAAACATTGAATGATCGTCAACATTTACGATATTATCAACGTGGTAACCTTTAATTTCTTTTTGTGAGAATGACTGAAGGATGTATTTTATAGAACAAAAACAGCATTTTCGAAATATTTGAATTAAAGAGGTGTTACATCGAATCACTCCTAAAATTATGCAGAATGTGTGAGAAGTTTCGAAAAAACATATTGTATATTCAATGGAAGCCAATTGTCATCAGTTTGAATATTTGATCAATTGAGGTAGGCAGTTAAAAAAATACTAATTATGAAAAAAAATATAAATAATTGAGTTGAACATCAAAATGTAATAACCGCTGTAAAGTTAAATTTGGGAACATCAACATGGTTGAATTGGAAGTAGTTTAGTAGCAATTTATTTTTCGAAAACATAGGTTTTGCTTTTTCACTTCTCAATTTGAATACAATGTTCGAAACAAAGAAGTAAGCAATTATTTTCAAAACGATATTTTACTAGACCACCAATACAATATTTCAAGATGATTTTTATTGAATTTTAACGACGCAAGTAGTGCTGTAACAAATACCTGGAAAGAATGTTTTTATGAAATTTTGACACATTTTCTGTCAATGTCAATATGGGAAAAAATCAAAATGAGTTAAAATATACTTTATTGAGCAAAAACAACGAGTCAAAATAGAAACGTTATAATAAAATCAAAGTTATAATGTTTTCTATTTTCATTTCTGCATAAGTTTTTGCCATTTTATTGATTGTTGGAAACGATTACTTCGTATTTATTGATTTTTAATAAACAAATATTTACTCCCATTACAAATCACAATATCACGATGACATTGAAAATTTCATTTCTATAGTTATCTTTTTTTATATTTTCAAATATCATGCTTGCTCCTTTTTCTTTAACCAACTCAAAATATTAAATCCCTTTTTCGAATTGAAGGGGTTATATTTTTAGGAGTGATTAATTTTTGGGAAAGTATAGAGTTACTTATTTTCAAATTGATAACTTCCTTCCTTTCTTTGGAAGATTCCCCCATCTTTTTTTGTATCGAGATGGAGTAGTAGAAAGCCAAAAACTTTCTTTCCCATCAAATCCCTATTATACTACCTCTACTTCATTTATTTACAGTTCAATTTGAAATAAATTATTGAACAATGAAAGTTCTAATCAATAACATTCAACAATAAACATGTTCAATTAGAATACAAAAAAATTGAATATTATCGAAAGATTTCAGTATGTATATGTACCTTCTGTTTCTATCTTTATCGCATCTCAAAATATAAATTACCAATGTATACCGGGTGTCCCACATTTTATGTGACAGGCAATATCTGGTTTGTTGAAGGAGATACACAAAAATGTTTCATACAAAAGTTTTAGGAGTTTATGAGAGCTATATTTTGATATAAATTTTAAATATACAGGGTGTTTGGTGTAGGTGCTACAGACCACAATTCCATTTTTTAAAATAGAACGCCCTGTATATCATTACATATTCAGATGCTACGTTAAATTCTGATATCATTTCATCTTCATCTGATTCGATTTTTCATTCAATCACATTGGTTCATTCCAAATTGTAGAATTTTTTGTCATACCAGAAATTTATATTCTCCCCTAGGTGGTAGATTTAAGTAGTAGTAATCCATATAACATTCAGAAAAATCTCAGAATCAATTGTATGATAGTTACAAATGAAAGTGTGGGTAAAATAAAAGATATTCAAATAAATATTTCATGGAAATATCCACTGAAACTAAATCATTCTACTGTGAAACAGCAATGATATGAAAATTGTTTGAAGATGCTGCCTTTTTCTGAACTGGGTGTACTTTACAGGCTTTATAATCATATGATATATGATTCTGTTCAGTTTGGGATGAAATAGATCAACGTGATATGATAATTTACGTTACAGTTTCAATTCAGAAAGTAATTCAAACCTTGATATCGTTCATTAGTGTCGAAAACAAGATTTCAACTAAAAATACTTTTATTTTCATGCAGATGAAAAATGTAAATACCATTCAAAACCTAAATACGTCTTTGCACTATGTACTTCAAACTCAATGTTTATTTCTCTTCACACTGTAAATGTGCAGATATAAAGATATTCTAAAAATCGCCCAAATATGGCATGCAGTTAGTAATTTCATTCAAGTGTCTAAACATGCCTAAAGTAGCTAGCACCGCAACACGTGTTGCGGTTTTGACAACTGTTTATTGAAAATGTCACAATAAAGTTACTCAAATATTTATTGGATTTTCACCATGTATAAGCCAATTTCAACATACTTACCACATTTTAAGAAAAATTTTGAACTTGTACTTGCCTAAACTTTTTCGTAATCTATAATTTCAATAACTGAATGTTTTTCAACACAGAAATCTCATGTTCCATGCAGAGTAACGCGTTTCCCTGCTAGCCAATCATGGTCATCAGTATCGGATCATCTGTTTTTATAAAGAATACGTTTCTGAAAGAAATGGAAGTGCAATGGATACTACTAAAAAAAGATGACAAAGTTAGAGAAATAGTGGTATTTCATCAGTGTGGTCACTTCAACACAAAATTGCTATCATTCGCCAATTCTTGAACGCCTGAATAGCAAATTATAAGGATATGTATCATAATACATATCCTTCTAGTTCCATAGAATTGTCTCCTAGATTATGAAAAATGAGAATTGAAATTTTTTATGTTTCCGACCTGGGTGAAAAACATATTCATTTTTGGTATAGATATGTTGACGATATTCTCGCCTGGTTTAGAGGTACTACACGACAGCTGAACCAATTTATGGCATTCATGAATAATATCAATAGAAACATTCAGTTCACACTCGACATAGAGATAGAGAAATAGATAAATTTTTCAGACCTGACCATTACACACAATCAGAATAAATTTGAGTTCAATGTATTCAGATAACCTAGCTATACAGACATTACCATCCCAAGTGATTCTTTCCATCCAGACTGTCATACATTAGTTGCCTTCAATTCAATGCTGCACAGAGCATTCTCACTACCTTTGTCTGCTAACAATCTAGCAAGGAAAATTAAAATAGTTACACAGATATGACATGATAATGGTTTCAACGCAGACACATTCCAGAAATTAGTCAGAAAACAAAGGCCGTAAATTCACTTACAGATTAATATACCCTCAGGTCAAACAACTAGAAATTAGTAAATGGGTGATGCTTACATATTTTGGAAAAAGAACATAGATAATTGCGGGTTTCTTCAGAAAAAACAATGTGGAAGTGGCACTCAGACCACATGCCAGGTTATCTGACTTCCTTTTCAATGCCAAAGGTGGACAAGTTGGAGAAATCTGGAGTTCATAAGCTTAAGTGTCCGGAGTGTAATAGTGTTTATATGGGGCAATGTGGTCGAAATTTCCAAAAACAGTATACTGAACATGAAAGGTTTTTCAGACTGAGGAAAAATGATTCCACGTTTTCAAACCATTCTTTGGCATGCAACCACAAGTTCCCGAATCAAAACAATACGGAAACTTTGCACTTTGCAAGAAATGGTTGCGAACTCAATTATTTAGAATCCTTTGAAATCATCAAGCATAAACATTGCAAATCAAACAATCACAAGTCAAGAAATAGGTAACTCTAACTTATTATAGTTGAATAATAGAGATAATTGCGGGTTTCTTCAGAAAAAACAGACCACATGCCAGGTTATCTGATTTCCTTTTCAATGCCAAAGATGAAGTGGGCAAGTTGGAGAAATCTGCAGTTTATAAGTGTCCGGAGTGGATTAGGGTTTATGTTGGACATTGTGGTCGAAATTCCTTAAAACGGTATGCTGAACATGAAAGGTCCTTCAGATTAGATAGAAATGATTCGACGTTTTCAAACAATTCCTTGAGATGCAATCACAATTTGCCGAATCTAAATGACACAGAAATTTTGCACTATGCAAGGAAAGGTTGTAAACTCAATTATTTGGAATCCTTGGAAATTCACAAGTATAAATATTGCGGGTGCATCCTGTTAAATGATCAATTCGATCTAGTTTACTAACCGGTTTTCAAATTAGCGTATCCACATTGTCACAAGTAAACAAAATTCAGGTACTCAATTAAGTTGAATACCTCTGCTATTACCTACAGTAGTGTTATATAAGAGCTAATGCCCTTATAGAATGAAACTGCCGTAACGTTATTTACAAATAAAAGTGGTTAAAAATCCGCTGAAGGCTTGCAAAATAAAATCATTTCGAGAGTTGGTAATTACAATTACAACAAGCAAAATAAATAAGATAGAGAACTCCATCCACTGATATCAAAGTTGAACCTTTGCGCTCTGGTTTCCAACAAAAAAATTGTGGTGGGATCACATGTATTTCTGAATGATGGTTAACATAAGTATTAGTAACAACATTTTACGAAATCATTTCGAATAAGAATAAATCCGTTCTTTCTCATATCTGATTAGATTTTCCATAAAAATGCGAAACAAAAACACCTTACAAAGTATCGACTTCTTTGTAAACCAAGAACGATATGATATATAAACGTATACGTGTCACGCTATTTTAGTCAATGAAATATATTAATAACGAATTTGAGGATGAACGTTCGACACGTGATTCGGCAAGTCAGAACTACAAAACAGACTATTGCAATAATTCAAAAAGAAAAAAATGAACTGTTGCTAAATAAAGCACACCTGAATAAAAAGATCTTTTCGTAAACCTTCATCTGATTCGATTTTTCATTCAATCACATTGATGTAATGTCCGTCCTAATTTTGGATAACCCAGAAAATGAGGTGAAAATTTTGAAATGAACAAAGTAACTTAATTAGACTTAACTTGCATAACACGTGGAAAATCATCACGGGATATTGAAAATCCATTAAAAAATAATCACTCAATGTAAACAATGTGAATGAACATGTTTCTGGAATTACTGACTTTGTGTGAAATGATGATATCAAAATGTACAATCTCAGTACTGAATCTTTTTAAACAATCTGTTTAAAATCAGGTTTTCTGTTAACCATCTGTCGCACCCCTATGAATGACAACCCTCAGAAGTCGAAACTTGTGCGACTAAGGATTAACGAGGTCTTACCTTTCAACGTGTGATTCCTAACATGTTGTATAAAATTATCCAACTGAAAAATGATATAATTATGAATGGTCTGACTCGTTACTTGATGGAAACTATGAATACTATCCACACTATACACAATTATCACAAACATTTTTCTAATTGTTTAATTATCATCATGGGTGATATTATAATTGATGTCAATTATTTTGTTTGTTGAAATATCATCATTATGAAAAGTGACAGAAAAACGTAAATAGTCTGTAATAATTCCATATATATAAAGTTTATTTTTTTGTAAACACCACCAATTGTTTTAATTGAATTCCTAGAAAATCAATGATGGGATATAGATAGTCAATATATGAAAATGTGCTTATATTCAATTATACTCATTCAAAGGAATCAATATTGAAATATTCAGACATATTTCAAACCGTAGGAAAAATATAGCGTTCAACAATAAATAAAATATTGTTTACACTCAAAGAATATTGAAAACTACCAGGTACTTATAAATTTATATTGTTAATCGAATTCTCAAAGTGGAAAAAAATAACTTTTTTTCCTTTACTCAATTTTTCTCACAAATGACTTTGAAAATATTTAAAACTCAATCGTGAAAAAATGCCTTCCCTATTATTATTTGAATTTTATTGAAAAAACTAAAATGGCAAGTGAACTGTATTTTTTCAATCTAAAACATGCATTTTTCCCAATCATCATAATGCAGTACTCTTCCAGACGTTTGTTTCACGAACCAAGTTGCCTCTACTTGTCCTGAAGTGCCGAATTGGTTTCTGGTGCTTGTTTTGGATTAATTCTACGCCAGAGGTTCCAGATTAACTTTTCATGTATTTCTTTGAATATATTTGAAAAAACTAGTTCTATAAGATTCACAGTATCTGAATCAAATCTTGAAAAAATATTTCCATAATCCTCAATGGCTTCACTAAATTAATAAATCAATTATCTCCTCTTGATGATTATGGAAAAATAAATTTATTGAAACGTCCGAGTCATTCCATCCTTATGTAAAAATAGTTTGAAATTTTATTACATTATGCATTAGCAGAATATTAATCAGAGAACTATATTGGTATCTTCTAAAACAGGTTGAATCTGTCCTTCGTTGCTTAAATAATATGAATATAAAAGACCGAATCAGCTTTTTGGGGTATCACTTGTGTTAGGTGCTTCAGTAGAATAACACATACACACACGATGAAGGTATTCCTGGTGAGTACATATTCTTTTTCAATTACACTTTTTCCAATTATCCCAATTCATTGGATACATGAGAGTGATAAATGACAACTATACCCATTTATTCATCAGGATATTTGATGTATTGAAAAATAACGACTAAATAAATAGATAAGTACTCCTTGATCATTCCCATATTGATTTCAATTTAAAAGCCACCGGTATACAGCTGAAAGCACTGTTCTATAACGCTGCGCACGCCTAAGTTCGTTGATTCTGATTATGTCGAAACATTGGAACAACATTATTCAGTTGTGTCAGTATTTGCTGTGCCTATCACTCTACACAAATATCGATCATTGTACTCAAAGACAGCAAAATAATTTTTCAGTATTTTCAATAGAAAATGACATCTAGACAATTGCTACATTACTGAACACAGAGGTGCACAGAAGCAATATTTCCAGCCGATAATGGATTAATAGGACTTGGTTAATTGTTCTTGGCGAAACATAAACTGCAAAAACGATATTTGTCAGAAGATATGTTTTTTCTATTCGAAAGCAAAACAATTACAGATTCTAATGAATTATTACAGACTCTATATCGGATTTCTGCGACTCTGCCATATCCTCAAAAATACGAATAAGGATATAAACATTTTTTTTCAAATTTTTCATGACTGATGCAAACTTTTCATTTCAGTGTGTAGTACTTTTGGCCGTTACTGCTGCCGCCTCTTCTTCAACCAAAAAAGAAGAGAAAAACAAGCGCAGCTTGATTCCTGGATTAACGTCATATGGAAGCTCTTTGGGATCAGGCTCTTCTTGGTCTCACCACGGAAGCTCGTTTGGAGGTCTGGGGTATAGCAGTTCCGCTGGCGGATTGGGCATCAGTTCCGGAAGTGCATTGGGTTTGAGAAGCGGAGTAGACATCAGTTCCGATAGTGGATTGGGTCTCAGCTCTGGAAGCGTATTGGGTCTCAATTCTGGTAGCGGGTTGGGTCTCAGCTCTGGAAGTGGACTAGGTTATAGTTATGGCAGTGGATTAGGTTTATCATCTGGAGGCGGTTTGGGGCTCAGTTCCGGTAATGGACTCGGTTACAGTTATGGCAGTGGATTAGGTTCATCCATCTCATCCTCCTACGGTAGTGGATTGGGATACGGTTCCGGTAGTGGATTGGCTTACGGAAGTGGATTTGGTTATGGTAGTGGATTAGGATACGCTTCTGGCGCTGGAATCCCAATTGTTGGTGCTGCAGTCAGCCAAGAAGTAGCCAAACATACAGTACATAACATTGTTAACAGAATTCCTGTTGCTTACCCACAACCCTACCCAGTCCCTGTCACCAAAACCGTACCAGTTCCTCAGCCATACCCTGTAAAAGTAGACAAACCAGTACCAGTTCAAGTACGTGTGAACGTACCAGTTCCAGTAGAAAAACCTTATCCAGTTCACGTACCACATGCAGTGCCATACCAAGTTAAAGTCAGCGTACCATACCCAGTTGAAAAGCCATACCCCGTTACCGTTACCAGAACCGTGCCTGTTCGTGTAGAGAAGCCCGTATATGTAAAGGTTCCAGAACCAGTCCAAGTACCAGTTGCCCAACCCTACCCCGTACATGTACGCAAACCCGTTCCTGTATCCGTTCCACACCCAGTGGTAGTCAAAGTTCCCGAAATTGTTAACATTCAACACGCCATCCACAGGGCCGCAGTTGTTACCCCAGTTGTAGCCCATCAAGTTCATCATGTCAGTACCCCAGTCATTTCCAAAGTTGAAGGTGCTGGTGTCAGTGCTGGATATTTGGGAGCAGGTGTTTCTGAAGCTAGCGGTTTCAGCTCTGGTATCTATGGTGCAAGCGGTTTGAGCTCAGGTGTTTTGGGAGCAGGCAGTCTGGCTTCTGCCGATTTGAGTGCAGGAAGTATCAGCTCAGGGGTAAGCGGCTTCAGCTCAGGGGTAAGCGGCTTCAGCTCAGGTATTGCAGAAGGAAGTGGATTGAGCTCTGGAATCGTGAGTGCAAGTGGTTTGAGCTCAGGTGTGTTGAGCAGCGGTTTATCCGACTCTGCTTCTTGGAGCTCAAGTGGTTTGGGTTCATCTTCATGGAACTCTGGTCTATCCGGGTCAGGTATAACTGGATACTCTAGTGGAATCAGCAGCAGTCTACCAAGCTCCTGGTCAAGCAGTCACAACATCATTGCACGAGGTACCGCAAAGAAAGCAACAGACAAGAAGCAGTAACTGTGATGTATGATGAAATATTTTCGATTTGATTTTCTTTAGCAAAATGTACAACATTCTTTTCTCTTGTAATAAAGTGCTTACAATGTGAATATGTATTTTATTTTCGAGAAGAATATATTATTATTTCAAATTCAATAAGTAATCAAGCAATAATTTTAATAGAGACTGTGCCACCTTCATATTTTGGTATAGTATTAAGAAATGGAAACAAAGAAATACGTCAGAGGTGAAATCAAAAAACCGGTGGTCGGGGGCGGTACAGATCCAGCAATATTTTTATTAGAGACTCTGTCACGTTCATATTTTGCTATAGAGTTGAGAAATGGAATATTTTTATTAGAGACACTGCCACGTTCATATTTTGGTATAGTATTAAGAAATGGAAATGAAGAATTATGACAGAGGTGAAATCAAAAAACCGGCCGTAGGGGGCGGTACAGATCCAACAATATTTCAATTAGAGTTTCTGCCACCTTCATATTTTGTTATAGTGGTCACAACTGGAAATAAAGAAATATGGCAAAGGTGAAATCAAAAAACCGGCCGTCGGGGACGGTACACATACAGCAATATTTTATTACACAGTGCTTTCCTTTAATGTCCCCCCTTTCATTTTTGAACGGTTCAACAGAAAAAATTATTACTTGGAATAATGAAATTGATGTATGAATACTATATTTTGAAGTAAAATTTACAAATGAAAATTTCAAGATGGTGATCTGAAAAAAAAATTGAATAGAAAGGGGGATCTTGTGACACATCATTTTGAAGCTCCTGACGAATACTTCACAATCCTAGAATATAAAGTCAATATCTTTACTCACTAAAAAATGGCGGCACATTCAATAATTACCTAAATACATCGATGTTTACCTTCCATAATTTGAAGGAATAAGTTGATTTCAGTTCAGAAAATGTTCGAAATGGTTGCCTTGAACTTTTGAAATCAGAGCTGCGCAACAGATATTTCACGTCGATTATTTTCGAAAACTGTAACGTCGATATTTCTTCAAATATTTATTATTCTCTGCCGTATATCCAATATTGGAGCAAATTCAGTTTCGTACAACATTTGTGCTCAGCCCCATAAAAAAATCATGGATATGGATATTGTATTCCAACAAGATGGCGCACCAAAACTTCAGACAAGCAAGAAAATATTTAGATATAAATTTTCTCGGTTGTTGGGTTGGTCGTCGAGGTCCTACGGAACGGAAGGTCCCTCTCACCAGATTTGATTCTTTTCGAGTTTTTTTTTTGGGGCTATTTCAAGCGCAAAATTGTACGAAACTAAACCTGCTCCAATAGTAGATATACGGCAGAGAATAATAAATATTTGTAGAAATATCAACGTTACAGTTTTAGGAAAAAATCGATGTGAAATATCATGTATCACAAAACCCCCCTTTTTATTCAATTTTTATTTTCCAAATGGCGCCCAGTCGCCATCTTGAAGATTTTTTTCGTCAATTTCACTCCAAAATTTACTATTCAAGCATCAATTTCACTATCTCAAGTTTCAAACTTTCCAAATGACCCATTCCAAAAATAAAAGGGGGGGAAAACTTTAAGGAAAAGCACTGTAGAATACAGTACTCAGCGTGGCCGCAGCGTGGCCACCGCAGTGTGGCCGGTTTTTTGATTTCACCTCAGCCATATTTCTTTATTTCCAGTTGTGACCACTACACCAAAATATGAAGGTGACAGAGTCTCTAATGAAAATATTGCTGGATCTGTACCGCCCCCGACGGCCGGGTTTTTTCATTTCACCTCAGACATATTTCTCCGTTTCCATTTTCCAACAGTATACCAAAATATGAAGGTGGCAGATTCTCTAATAAAAATATTTGATCTGTACCGCCCCCGACGGCCGGTTTTTTTATTTCACCACTGCCATATTTCTTTATTTCCAGTTGTGATCACCCTAACAAAATATGAAGGTGGCAGAGTCTCTAATAAAAATATTGCTGGATCTGTACCGCCCCCGACGGCCAGTTTTTTGATTTTACTTCTGCCATATTTCTTTATTTCCAATTGTGACCACTATAACAAAATATGAAGGTTGCAGATTCAATAATAAATACATTGCTGAATCTGAACCGCTCCCGACGGCCGGGTTTTTGATTTCACCTCTGCCATATTTCTTTATTTCCAGTTGTGACCACTATAACAAAATATAAAGGTGGCAGAGACTCTAATAAAAATATCGCTTCATCTGTACCGCCCTCGACGGCCGGTTTTTTTGTTTCACCTCTGCCATATTTCATTATTTCCAGTAGTGACCACTATAACAAAATATGAAGGTGGCAGAGACTCTTATAAAAATATTGGTGGATTTATACCGCCTCCGACGGCCAGTTTTTTGATTTCGTCACTGGTTCATTTCTTCGTTTCCTTTTGTTAACACTATAACAAAATATGAAGGTGGCAGGGTGTATGATTAAAATGTTGACAGAAGTATACCGCCTCCTGCTCGGATTTTTCATTTAGTATTCACTATTTTCTATAATTTCTGTCATTTCAAATATTCATCATGCCTTCAAAATACATTTTTCACTGTTTCGGGAAAGAAAATAGAAAATACGAAATATTGCTGAACTTTATAGCCAAATTAACGGAGGTCTTGCTGGAATATAGGTATATTATAATTAATAAAATTTTTATGAACACAATTGAACCCCGAACTAAAGTTTTATTCTAATAGCAATCAGAAACGATTGTTGAATTACTAAATATTTCGATACTTGCAAGGCACTTTTCATGTGTTGCTATCAAAAACGATTTGATTGTGTTGAAGATCGTTCCATAATCGCCTTTTTTCTGATGCATGTGATTGCATAAATGGACCTTAAACAGCAGGTAATAATAATGAATTGACAATACTTTCACATCGTTTTTTCTTTGATTGGTCAGTTACAAATGAGCTTAACTTTGTTTAAACTGGATGAATATCCTGATCAAAGTAAATAGAATAGCACCTTCTAGTGCTGAGATGCATTGCGACCATGCAATGTGCTTTCTATCGTTTTGAAATTCTTAAGGGCTGATCACAGGGTCTAAGTACTACAAACGTTTGTTGCGAGAGCTAACAATTTCGAAAAAACAGGAATTTCAGGTAGGCCAGTTTTCAGATATAGGTACTATCTCTATTACTCTCCCGAACGTCATACGAGCTATCTGGCTGGCGTTAGTGGTTGTGTTTATCAGGGCGCATCGAACCTGAACAGGTGAAATATCAATTTCTCAAATTATTTATATATCATAGATTTTTTTGACACATGAATCTTCAGTCACACCGATCTAAATGCGGAAAGTTATGTGATATCATTTTGTTTGGTCTAGAAATAGTTGTCAAATTCAGAAAAAAGATTAAAAACTATTGAATTAATTTGAGAATTGATACAGTATCGAAATAATTTATTGTTGAACAAAATTAAGATAATACCTAGTCAACCTCAAGTATGAAAATAAACGAAAAATCGGATGATTACATGAAAATTAAGGTTAGATTTTTTATCCCATAACTTAGTCACAAGAAACGAAGGCATCTTGATAATAATCATCATCATACTCATCACTGCTGTCATTTTCATTGTCATCACCGTCTTTTGAAGTGTCATCGTTTTGTAATAAGTTATTTGTGATAGAATGAAACATATTATAATCTTTCGGCAAAGAAATTTATTAGCATTTTATTTTTAATTCCTACCTTGAATAATAATGTCGTCAACTAATGATGGTAATTGCTCTCCAACAAACCAGATAAAATAATATTTATCGTCGTTTATGGTTCAGCCGGAAGCTTAAGGTGATAGAGATGTTTGTGACGTAACGAACTCGTAGTAAATGTAAATACAATTCAGCTTTACATGAAGATAGGCTTAATGGGTTAAAATTACGGATTTCTTTCTCAAAATTACCGTCCGATTTTTTAGATCGGTAAGGCTTGAAAGCAAATGAAAACAAACGTCATTGACGTTCCAAGAATCACGAGCTCAGTGAAGATATTCAATGTCTCATTCAGCAATTCTTCATCATCTTTTATAATATTTCCACAGGCTGACTGACACTGTTCTGATTACTCTAACAGTTTAAAAAGTCGAAGTTCACCTTTCCAGAAAAAAGCTGGTGTGAAGTAGCATCCTGTAAGTGCGCGAAAGCACGGTAGAGCTTTCGATGAAAAATTCCCTAGAATTTCATATACTTGATTGACGTTTATAAATCGCTCATTATTCCCCACATTCAAATTCATCTAGAGTTTTAGAGTGATGCATTCAAATGATCCATGTTATCAAGAAGTATCATTGAATGAATATTCAACAGTTTTAATAACTATCTTACTTTCATCCCGGTATGAGCCTCAGCGAAGTTGAGTATTATGAAGCACATTCAGTAATGAACTGCTTCCTTGAAAGATCACTATTTTCTTCGATGTTCAGTAGGAACTCAGCTATATGTTTCCAGTAGCTATGCTTGCTTGAATCTGGATTGAACAGTTTACAGTTTTTTTTCAATATCGAAAAAGCAGCAAGTTGTTTTTAAAAATTATAATACGATTGGGTTATAAGTCAGCAGTAACACCTTGCAAGTATTTTAATCCACAAACATCGAGAACATGGGAGATCAAAGCAGCTCTGATACTGTGGATTTTTGTCGAGCATTAATGTGCAGCTTTTGAATTTGTGAAATGTGCAATACCGCTGAGACGTTTAGCTACATAAGCATTTATAGGCTATTCCAGCGTAAGATCTATTGGTATTCTTGAAAAAGGTTTATCAGTTCTTTTAATTTCAAAATATCCAGATTTGAAGTCTTCTTCAATTCCTGAATGTGTTTCGTCAATATTTTTCAAATTCTCGTACGCTATCAAGCGTAGTTAGGCTGATTGACGATAAAAAATAAAATTTGTAACTTATGGAATTACATGCTTGAACATTTCAAAATTACCCATGCATATGCCTCTTGAAATTATGTGATCATCAACTAGTTGGATGCAGGTCATGTAGAACTGAGCAGTTCAAGCATGATCACCTTATCTTGTTTTATCCACGATTTTTTGATACGAAGACAGCAGTCGGGAAAAAACCTG